CCAGATTTTAGGCAAGAGACGATTAAAATTGGCTGTGAATTAGTTTTTGACACATAATACAAGATGTAAGACAAGCTTAATCATTAAAGTTTAATTTAGCACTTAAAACTCTTTTTTGAAAGATGAAAATAACCTTTTTTTAACGAGTGTTTTTGTAGTATATACAGATGTTTTCCGACGAACTCCGTGACAGTTATCACAAAAACTCCTGAACAAGTTATCATAAGAACTCCATCCTTCGTGTTACACTTCCTCCCCCGTGCCAATAACCACACCGCTTTCAAAATTATGAAAGCTCGCCGATAATTAGCTGTGTGAATAGTCACAAGAAATAATTTCGTTCATGGTCAAGCTCAGATCTTATAGCGGAGCTTTATTTAGAGCTGATTTTAATCAGATTGATCATTATTATTCACGTAGTTTGCATACAATTAAAATATGAGCCGCGTCACGACAAAACCAATATAATGCATTTGCGACCAGCATGGATCCAGACCAGCCTGCCATGCAGTCTGATCAGGATCCATGCTGTTCGCTTTAAGTTTTCATACTTGTAATAGAGTTGGTAAGCGAATAGCATGGATCCTGATCAGACTGCGCGGAAGCGCAGGCTGGTCTGGGTCCATGCTGGTCGCAAACGCACTACGTTGGTTTTGTCGTGACGCGGCTAATATGATACCGACTAATTTGCAAGGCATTTCTAAGTAAATGACTTGTAGTCTGAACAGACAAGAGAGAATAAATATTACTGGTGAGCACACCACCCGCAACCAACGCCTTATCGTGAACACACCACCCGCAACCAACACATTGTCGTGACCACACCGCCCGCAACCAACACCTTGTCGTGAACACACCACCCGCAACCAACACCTTGTCGTGAACACACCACCCGCAACCAACGCCTTGTCGTGAACACACCACCCGCAACCAACACTTTGTCGTGAACACTACACCCGCAACCAACACTTTGTCGTGAACACTACACCCGCAGCCAACACTTTGTCGTGAACACTACACCCGCAACCAACACTATGTCGTGAACACACCACCCGCAACCAATACCTTGTCGTGAACAACGTATTTCTCATATTAGTTTGAACACCAACTGCTCTAGATCTAACCTCTAAATTGGCTTAAAGTGATATTAAAATTGAAGGAAATGCGCTAGTTAATCTTGTCAGCTTTAATTGGTTTTGAAAACCACGCCAATGTTGTATATGAGAATGTAAAACATTGTTAAACAGCCAATACAAAAATATATGACAAGTTTTAAGAATAATTGCTTCATGCATGTTTTCATAATTTTCTAAGTTAAAAATGTTTAATTCACCTTTTGCCTGCTATGTTTACATCTACATTTTATCTAATTAAACTGCATGCATTTGTTAAACAGTTTTTGTAAACTGTAAATGTTAGCAAATAACAAAAATTGTATTGATCAAATGCCGCGTGAATTTAGTAAATCAATTGTAGTCATTGTGCTGATTGCAAGTAGAATAAAAATGATAATAAAACAAAATAACCATTATATTAAGAGACAGAAAAACATTGGATGTGTATTTATAAAAGAACGGTATGTAAATATAATTATTATTCTAACATCAACAGCAGCTGCATTATATCAATTTCCAGGAAATATCCATTAAAATTTATTGATAAGGGATGGTACATTGAATACAATTAGTTATAAATTTTAAGGAAGAAAAAAAAACTGTCAAGACAATGCTGTTTGACAGCTGTAAAAATTTCCCTGTACTAAAATGTCAATTATGCCTCAATAAACAAATAAATATTTCTATTTTAGTACGGGCAAAATTTGCAAAATGGTTAATAATATTTAAATAATGATTTCAGAGCATATTACATGTTTATAAATTTATGAAAGAAGCGCTAAATGTAAAATTATTTGTCATAAAAAGTAGTAATTTTGACTCCAATATACAAATGTATATTATACCTAAATCACTGTTAATGTTCTAATGGCCAAAAAGTAACAGAAGCCAAATAAAATATATAACTTCAGAAAAAAAAAAAAAATGGGTTTTGGGAAATGGATCCAGGCCAGTTTGGACCCCCTTTAATATTTTCCCTTGCCCCTTTTTTTAATAAGAACAACCGAAAGATGGAAACCCAAAATTGCGGATGGGGGGTGGGCTATCCCTTCAGCCAACCCCTTAAAAGTTGGTTTTTTGCCGTAATTATATATAGAAATATAAATAAAAAAAACTTTGACAGTTATGACCATTTCTGTTTATTCATTTAATCGTTTGACGATGATGGAGATGTCAAGATATCTATGGTTCAGTTTGTAATGGAGATGTTAGTTAGCTTTATGTTGTTTTTATATTCATTCGACAATGACCCTTTATTTCCGTTGTGAAATATTGAATCTAAGAACCTTATCATGTAATTAGCTTGAACTTTTACTTTTGTCATTTAATTAAACATATTTAAATCGCGTTTTGGTTTATGATGTAAGTCATGTTATTAATTGAAGGAATTCTGTGACAAGTTCATTAACCCCACCTACAATGCACATCCCCTCCCCCAATTTCATAAAATCACAATTGATAGACTTTTACTCTCTCTAAAACCTTTTATTTGTGGAATCCTGTTATATTTTCGAAAAATTACTTATTGACCATATAATTAAATCATTATGTACTTCCTTGGTATTTTTGAAGTGAAAATATCACCAGTCCTGTGTTTCTTTCTTTACATATAAGAAATGTTTCACATTAAGGGCTACTTTCAAGTGATTATCGTCAAAAAACATTATGTAAATGCTTATAAATAGAGTATCAAACACATGTTTGTCCTACATGAAGAAGCAATAATGTACTCATTTTAGAGGGTTCATGTGTCTTTATAGAGAACCCGTATAGACACTGTGTTATTCATTATTTTTAATAACTTATTTACACTTACCGTAATTACTTGTTCTAATTTCACGTTTAAGGTTACCTTTTATTGAATGATTAATATGTTTTAATAGAAATATTTCTTCTTTCAGCTATTAAAGTACGATATAGTCTGTATTTTGTTTCAATTGCTTTATTATTTATTCATATACTATAACAATATACTATGGACTGCTGTTAAACACTATGTTTGAAGGTATCTAAATAGTAAATAGAACAAAACATAATTGATTGAATCAATCTACTTGTTTAAGTACAGAGTACTATTTGAAATGAAAATCAAACATTGATGTGAACCGTCATGGGAACTAACTTAATGCAAACATCTAATGGTGTATTTAATGAGAAATAACTATACAAATATTATTCATTGAATTTACAAACATTCTCATATAAAGTTTAATTAAATGTTCCGTGGAAATTATTCAAGTATCGAGAATTATTGTAAATCAATCAGTCATCAAAGAACAATTAGACCGACGTTCAATTCTATAAAGTTTGAGCTGTCTGATTAATAAATGTTCGGTTTAATAATTTTACCTGTTCCCTGTTTATGTATCATATAAAAGTAATCTTACTAAAAGTAAAATAATATTTAATATAAAAATGCTATGGTTATGAAATAAAAGCGAAATAATTATTCCCAATCTTTTATTAAAAGAATGTTAACCTATAAGTGTTGATAATTTATTTTCGGTTAATAACAAAAAGGCATAATTGCAAATTATAAAAATCAAAGAGACATGAATAAACATGAATAACAAATTCTCTTAACCCTTAAAATGTTTGAAATTGACTTGTCCGTCTTTCGATATGGTCGAGACCATTTTTCATATTTAGGGAAAATTGAAAAAATACGAGAGTACTTAGTACTGACGGAATAGCGAAAAATAAAGACCATGATTAAACAATAAAGATGTGCAGGCCGATTGTGGTCCGAGCTTGTCTGATTTTGCCGCATGTAGCCCCAACAAGCTAAAGGATTTTGATAAGCAATATTTAGTTAGACTGATTTTACAATTATTACAACCTAATTGAATGATTTACGCTTAACGCTATTTGAGAAGAAATAAAGTAATAGAAGCAGTTACGGTATAAAGTTGTGTTCGGCACAACCGTTCTTATTTTACCCCATTAAATTTCAATATAAATGATGTAAACGAAACACCTACATGTAGTTTCAGCTACATGTCGCGTCACAAGTAAAGCCTGTTCCTTAAAGTGGAAAATTAAATGAAGTCAAAATGATAACGAATAAAGTATAAGGCATTTTCAGAGTTATTTTTGACTGAAATTAAAGACACAGTTTTAACTCGTATCTATGTTCGTTATATTACATTGGCTTGCTTTCTTCAGATTGCTTTCTCTATTCTGTAAACAACTTGCTTGGATTAATTAACTGAAATAAATACGCAGACAAGCTCGACATTATACTGTAAAATTGTTTTATTTAAAATGAAAATTAGACTTCACAATCATTTACCGACTTCTGAACACAATACATTAAAAGAACTCCATTGAGGTCCAAAAGCCTTAAAACATAAAATTTCAATTTTTGCATCGGTCAACTTGGACACTTAAAAAGGAAGCCATACAAAAGATAAAGCAGAAATGTACTACTAGATAAATTGAAAATCGTATTTTGTGGTATTCTCAGCCGATTTGAGTGTAAAACCTTTCAACTCTTTTCAATTTTGGGTCACTCTTCACAATTAGTATAATTATTCTGGGAAAAGGGAGTGAGCGAATAATTTGAAATTGTGCACACAAGTTATTGATGAAAGCCTTCATCAAATGGAACATTAGTCTCGAAAAATTATTTCCTGTCCCTTCACGTCAAACAACCTCATTGGATCAGTGGAGTCCCTTTACACTGTATGGATTAACATACTTAATGTTGATTTAATAGATAAGTTGTTTTGATGCCAGTTAATTATTTTAGCGACATGACCTCCCTAAATGAGGAGAGCCCCTTATTATATATTTATTCTTAATTTTATATGCAGCCCATCTTCTCCTGATCCTTAGAAACGCGTCTTTGTTTGTTAAAATGTATAACTTTTATTCCATCACTAGGAAACGAGACATATCATGATGACGATGACTTTATGAAGCAGTACATGAAACAAAATTCATTCAATAAATGGGATGCTTTGGAAAATGACACGGAAATTGCCGAGCAGTTTTACTCGGAAATGGATGATTCACACATGGCTTCGTTTGCATATTCGTTAACAGCGGTACGTATAGATATAACAAAGCTTGTTTTAATTCCATGACATTGTAAATTGATCGAATCCACTATCGTATAGGTGTTCACTATCGTATAGTCCGTAGGGTTGCCTGGTTAGATCTAGAATCATAATAACTAAAACATTTGTTTACTTCTATATATTTAAATAAATATCAATACAATTACTCTATGTTATTATAGTAATAATCATAATAACCAAAAAAGTAGCCCGCACGGGCAATACACTGAAACCAAAATAATCATAATAACTAAACCATAGATAAAGTTATAATCATAATTAGCGAAAGACAAAGGAGTAATCGTCATGTAGTCATAATAATCTAAAATATTAGAATGTACATTTCTTTGATGTATATATTTCATGTTTGATACAGAAACATAAATTGCATGAGCAATAAGTCATTGTAGTATTCAAGATAATGTGTTTTCGAATATATATATAATTAGGCATTATAATCAAGCCCTGTAGTAATTTAATGATACAGAGATAGATCTACTTTAATGTGACAGGATGGATTATTTAAATATCTTTTTTATGGTCTGTAATTGTTGAAATCCATAAAATCTTATTTTCTGTTTTGAAATGCATGTATATATATAAAATGAATATAGAACATTTCCAGTCGTTTTTATTTGTTGAATAAAAATGTGTATATTGAGTACGTGTATTTATGTGATTGAAGGCACAATTGAGTACGGATGAATTCAAGAAGTATGGGCACCAGAAAGCAGATTTAATATTGTCGTGTACATGGAAGGGAATATCGTGTTCGCCAGCGTGAGTCAAATCATGAATTGGGTTTAAAAAAAAATGTTTGTCATATTGAATTGCAGACACAAGTAGAGCACTTTATTTCAGAAATGTCGCATATTTTAATTTTCGATCTTATCTTGACTGTTTTTCAATTGATAGATTAATTAGAGTACTCTCAACATTTCTAGAATAACGGTTCTTCCAGTAAGAAATAAAATAAATAAAACGTGTATTGCAAAGATAAATTTGATTTTATTCTTGAGTATTTTGGACCAAAAATATAAGAAAAAGTTTATACCTATTTATGCCTAAATAAAAGTTATATAGATAACTCCTTTCGTATTGAAATGACCTGATGATTTCCGTACAGAAAAAGAACTCTGTAAAACTACTGTAACAATACTATTAAAGTAATTAACTACCAATCAGTACCAATTACCTCTCTGGCGTGGGTTCGATCCCCGGGAGATGCTTTGGTAGTTTAGCGCGGAGGAAGGTAGTCTAGTACTGGTGTAACTCTCCAGGAACGATGGTTAGGAAACTACCCGCCTATATGACTGAAATACTGTTGAAAAAGGCGTAAAATGAAACAAACAAACAAACAAACAAACCAATCAGTAAGTATTTAACTTTTTCTGAATATAAACGTGCTTTTTCAGATTAATATCTGTTTGCAATAGTCACATTTGTTTGACATAGTCTTACCTTTTACGATGTTTATATGTTTAATATAATGTTTGTCTCATACAGGAACTTTACATATCACCGGAGTCAACTGTATGGAAACTGTTACACAATCAACACGTTTGATAACGGTAATACAGCTCTGTCAACAAATTATGCCGGACCACTGATGGGTATGTTTTCTGTAATAACATGTGTTAAACTATAAGTGTCTTGTTTGACTTCAGATCTACTTATGAAACTTTCATATAAACTGGTTCTTATACAGTCAGTGATAATTATCAATACCATCTGATAGTGAGTTATTTTCTCCTAAAAGAAATGTTTGGTGCACACGGTAAATAGATAATAAAGCAACATCCACATAATTATATCGTATGATGAGTAACCTGTTATTTAAGTGTAAAACGCTTAAGGTCTTCACACTTTGATTTAGACCGGAGTCCAAAGAAAAATACAACAAAACAACAATCGAAATTAGTAAGATCGAACAAAACAACACCAACACATTTACACAAACAAAAGACCAAGACTATAAAAAAAGAATAAAGAAAAAACCAATGAAAATGTTGTAATTTCTCCTACTTTTGGACAACCTCATAACGGAACATAAATGGTTTTACTAAATGTAAAGTAATTTCTTGCTCTACTCTTTCAGGTCTTGTGCTGGAGCTAAATATAGAACAGGATGAGTATTTAGCTGCCCTAAGTCCGGATGCCGGTGTTAGAATTGCTATCCACCCTAGAGGGACATATCCATTCCCGGAAGATGAAGGAATCTCGGTACCCCCGGGATTTAAAACTTCCATCGGGATCTCAAAGGTAAATCCATATTCTTCTTTTGTACGAAACATGCATACCACTCCGTAACACCCAACTTTATTTATACCCCCCCCCCCCGATCTCTATTTACCCCATTGTTATTTTCCCATTGATCGCTATTTTCCCATTGATCGCTATTTTCCCATTGATCGCTATTTTCAGGTTTAAACTAACAACATTTAAGGTTAGGTATTTGTTACTATTTCTATCAAGTCAGATAAACGCTTTTGAAATTGTGGCTCTGTAATCATATTGTTCTTCACATTGAAAAAAGGCTTTGACAACCTAAACAGTCAGTAAGTTTGCTTAGTTTCATATTTTGTCAGATTGCATAATGACCGAAAAATGGCTACCACTTGTGTACACTTTACAGTGCATTAATTGGAATTTATATATAAATATTTAGGATGCTTGACATGCACTAAAATGCAGTACTTAATTGATATTTGTCATGCTTATGCACAACATCTGCATTTTGTTTTTAAAACATAATATCAATCCTACAGATGCTATGTGGCTAATATGGTGGTAAATGCCTAAATGGTATAAAGTCAGTCGTATATAAGGCCTGGCTAACAAGACTTTAATCAGCATGCCTCCAAATTCATGCTTTTTTTTATGAAAATTTTCAAAATGTATTTAAAGGTAAATTATTGTTTAAGATTTACACATTGTACACGGCACTTACACTTCAAGTAAATTTCTTAAATGAGGTCATAATATGCAAAAAATATCCCTTACTGCGTCAGTCACGCAGTAGCATTATGGTGATTAATCATAATCGCAACGTCACGTGTACATTACTACTTAGTACATTTTTCTTAATTGTGATTTTATTGAAATATTCAAGTTTGGCTCATCTGGAGACATGCATGTTTAATGTATTTATCAGACGATAGCTGCTTCAATGACACTGTCTCGTCACATTAAGTGTTGACATTTATTTTAATTGTTATCTGTAAATGTTTACTTCAGACTGAACTTACCCGTCTGCCCCCACCCCACGGGGAATGTGGTGGAAGTGGAAGGGACGTTACGAACTTGTACGCCAGGGATTTTGGGACGTCATACTCAAAGCAAACATGTCTTAAATCATGCGTTCAACAGAAACTCTTAGAAATATGTGGATGTGTGACGTCATACTTTTATGTTCCTGAAAATGTGTCCGTTTGTTCGACTGTTGGCAACGGAACTGATGGTTAGTTAATTTAATAATGATTCGTATATACCATTTATCACTCTAAAGAGTTTAAACACAACATATATTCACATGATCTTGGCATACACCAGCTTGTGATGTTAAATAAAACAGTGTAAGGGAAAAGAAAGAAATTTCATAAAAATAAAAGATAAATGTTTTTAAATGAAATTAATTTCAAGCAATATGATATGTTATCAAACATCATTTGGTTCCAAATATTAATCATGTAAATCTGTTTTACAGAAATGAAATCAATTTCTTATTTCTTCTTGAGGGTTAAAGGACAATTAAGGGTCAATGTAATACTTGAGATATACCAGGTGACGGTTTGTCCAATATAAAAGTGTTGTTAAACACAATAGTTTGACATCGTGATAGTTTCTAGATGAAAACACTATTTCCTGTAGTAATAACTTAAATATTGTTTTGTTAGACATTTAAAACAAACATTCCTCACTTACAGGCGCGTGTATGGAGGACACACTTTGTAAACAACTAGACGAATGTAATAGTAGATGTCCGACTCCATGTCAGTATGTATTATGTTGTCTTCTACACTCGTTCGTGTTTTAAACCAGTGTTTAATTTGATGTTATGTTGTTAAAAGTGGAATCTTCCTTTCTTATAGTTAATAAAAGTCGATTCTCAGCATTCATAGAGAAATATCTCACACAGCATTGGCACAATATATTCATTTACGTGAACCTCAAAGCTATGCTCTTACTATCAATATTATTATACAGCAATATGTTTTTCAAACTTTAAAAAATGTTTAAATTTTAAAAATAATTAAATATCTGTGTTTATTCAGTGTCGTTGTTGTTTTCATAGAGAATCCAAGTTTGAATTTACAACTTCCATGTCGAAATGGCCATCAGAGCAATACGAGGTAAGACTTTACATTTCATGAACATAACAGAACTTTTAACACGCGGGGTTTAAAATTATAGCTAGTAGGTTCATATTGCGTAGCTTAAATTATAGCTAGTAGGTTCATGTCGCGTGGCTTAAATTATAGCTAGAATGTTTATATTACGTGACTTAAACTATAGCTTGTACGTTGATATTGCGGGGCTTAAGCTAAAGCTAGTACGTTCATAATAAAAGCTAGTAAGTTGATATTGCGGGGCTAAAAATGATAACTAGTAAGTTCAAATTATGTGACTTAAAATGAAAGCTAGTAAGTTCATATTGCGGGGCTGAAAAGTGTAGCTAGGACGTTCATGTACCGTGGCTTAAAATTATAGCTACATGTATTAAATTCATACCGCGTGTTGGAACCATGAGATTTAAAATTATAGTCAGTCATTTCTTTTTTACATTTTTTTAAATCAAATTTTATCAAGATAATCACATTTTGCCCAATATGGTTAGACAAAATATTTGCAATAAGACTATAATTAGCCCTGAAGAGTCATCGGGCTATTTTGTTTAAATTCAAATTAGTTTCACCCGGCAAACAAACACAACCGTTAAAATTCAACAATAACCAGTTGCATCCATAGGTCAAAGTATAGCGGAAAGTTAGCTTGCCACGTCTTTCTAGGCCACCATTTGAGGGTTGATGTCGGTTCCGGGAAAATCACTGACATGTTACCATCCTTACAGTAAAAGCGAGAAATATTTCTCTTGCTTGGTTTATAAAAGAAATAAGAAATGGTGACATACCTGATTAAAGTAGGAAATATTCGTCTTGTCTAAACTCTTCTGTCGAATGTTTCACTGCCTATTAAAATAACGGTAGTATCTTCAATCACCTGCTAAGGGTCCGTAAGTTTGATCTTAAATGGTCTTGAAAATAAGTGGACTCTTTACATTCAGGGAACACGTAATAAACAAACACTAAAAATCATATTGACTAATTCAACGAAATATCATGATAAAAGATAACTTTTATATTTGCATTGTACAAATAGCATTAATTGTTTTTTTCTTTATATGGCTAGGATCATCTGGATGCTAAGATAAGTAAATCTATGAGCATGTTTATGGACGAGGATGACCGATCTGACAGGTATATGATCTTGTATGGTCCTTAAAACGTTAATCTTAGTCGTAATGTTAGATCAAAACCTGATATTATTTAAACATTAAATAAACTTTAGAATGCCGTTTTGGTTGTTCTTTTGGGATTCTGCTTTTCTCTGTTTTATGGAATAAGAAATGTTACAGTCAACCATTATGTGAGATGTAATGAATGGGTGATGTCATGTCGAGCTTATGACATGGTTGTACTAGTGTATTTTTACGCTTTTGCAAGAGTATGTATGGAAACTATACTTATACATGTATATGACAATACAAGCTTATAAAAATTGAAGTGTTAGCTATTTTATTATAGATGATTAAAATGAGCTCCCTATAAATTAAATGCAATTTGAAATATCAGTTTACATATATTTAAAAAATGTTATAAATAACTTTCTATTGCACAATTTATTAAAATATTACTGTTTCAAGAGTGGTTTCTAAATATATGTGATGATTTACTTCAGTAACAAGACGCTGATAAATAATGTAATGTACACTTGTTTTCATTTTTTATAGTGAAGACACGCTGACAAAGGTAGAAATATACTTCAGGGAACTTGTCTACGAGAAGATTGAACAACAAAAAGCCTACGAGGTATTATTACATTATCATTTCTAAAAAGCTTCACCGAGAAAGCATAAAACAATCAATTAAGGCACTAAACATGGGAAAATATGTCCCTTAATGTAGAAAACCCTCTGTGGAGTCCCTTTAATAAATACTTTGGATATTAATAAACCATTCAATGTTGTTTGTACATTTGTTGATATTTCTATGAACACAATTCATGATAGGCTAGATCACTAAATGCTTTTATTATATTAATATGTATTTTATTATATTCATATCTTGGTGAACGGTTATCAAACTAAATTTAAGATTCCATTTTCTTTTAATTTTTCAGGATACATTGATTTTTCATTTGATCATTTTCAGTATCATATGTATAATATATAAGGTCAATATTCAACTACTAGTAAATCATGTATATTTTGTTTCAGTCTCAGAATTTGATATCTGATATCGGAGGTCAGCTTGGTCTCTGGCTCGGACTGTCAGCAATTACTGTTGGAGAACTGATTGAGTTCTTTGGCTCGCTCGGAAAAGTGATATGTGCACGATGTTTTAAAAAGAAGACTCATCCAAACATTGATAACAGTGATAAACAAAGCTTTGCATAAATAAACACTTCAAAGATAAAAAATACATCAATTATTGAACATCTGTCTATTGAAATGACAGTGTCATAAAACTCCTACATTTACAATGTCATATATTTACGTCATTGTCGTATAGCTGGTTGCACAGGCTAATGAGTCATACACGCTATATTCAAAAAGAATGACAAGTCAACATGTATATACATATATTAAGGTTTTTATTTCATAATGTGCACTATGGAACATGACTTTGATTTATGAATATTATAGTGCAGGATACATGCGGACTGATCTTATGTCAAAATGATTAATATATGTAACTCTAAAACATGTGTATTTATATACATTATAAAATGTCCTTAGGACAGGTTGATATTATATATACTATTCTCAAATGTCAGAAAAAGGAGTTCGGCTTTGGCATTCCACTCGTTCACTTGTGTGTTTGTATTTGTATATTAAAAGTATGTAACATCCGTGAGTTCTTCCTCCGTTATACGACAACGGTTGATTTGGTGCCGTGACCAGGATTCGAACCTGGGTTGTCCTTTAATTTTCTATTTCAGGTACTTCGTTGTGTCCCGCTGTCCAAAATCGTCGCTTCGACATCGCTGGTCTTAGGCAACAAATCAACCGTTGTCGCATAACGGAGGAAGAACTCACGGATGTTACATACTTTTAATATACAAATACAAACACACAAGTGAACTAGTGGAATGCCAAAGCCGAACTCCTTTTTCTGACATTTGAGAATAGTATATATAATATCAACCTGTCCTAAGGACATTTTATAATGTATATAAATACACACGTTTTAGAGTTACATATATTAATCATTTTGACATAAGATCAGTCCGCATGTATCCTGCACTATAATATTCATAAATCAAAGTCATGTTCCATAGTGCACATTATGAAATAAAAACCTTAATATATGTATATACATGTTGACTTGTCATTCTTTTTTAATATAGCGTGTATGACTCATTAGCCTGTGCAACCAGCTATACGACAATTCCTCCTTTACTTATATAAAAAAAATTAAAAAAAAAGTATTAAACAAGGTATTAAATATCAAATATTTCAAACTCGTTCTAACAAATTTAAAAAAAAATCTAAAATCAACTTGACATCTGCTTTATAAAGCTACATACCAACGATTTGAAATTCCCGACACGTCACGACCACCAAGCCATACCGATGTCAGCAAGTACCTGTTACAAAAAAATATACCTGTCACAAGAAGTGTTCAATGCGCATGCACAATACACGTTTTACAGGAAATGAAACACCTGGACATTTTATCAATTATCAATTGTTTATAATATTTTTTAAACTTTTTCGTATATAAATATCTTTTCTACTCTTATCATACATATAATTCTGTTAAATTTTATACCTTAAAGTTTTTCTAATAAATATTCTTAAAATAATTTGTTCTTTGAAAATTGTTAACTTATTTGTTTGTTTTTTATGTTTTCTTGATCTCTAGAAATTAACTTTTTTTCTTTTTTTTATGATGAAATAAAGGAAATTTAATATTTATTGAAAACCTTATAAAGCTATAATATTTACCTTATGTTACTTTAACATATTATTTTTGTATTTTTTTGCATAAAGATTAATCGAACATTTAACAATAATTATTATTTTACTTATTCAAAACTTTTAAAACTAATATCAAAAGTAAACTTACCTGTGCTACATTGTATCTATCCAAATTTCTCTATTAAAATGAATTCAAACATGAAAAGGTTACACACGATATTCAATTGACCAATCAGAGATGATATGACCTAAGGTGATTTTTTCTTTTAAAAATAAAGTAATAAAAAGTCATTAGATAACATCTCTGACCGGACATCCCTGACCGGATATTACCTAAGGTGATTTTTCTTTTAAAATAAAGTGACAAAAGGTTGATGTATAACATCCTTACCTTAGGGGTAAAACAGATGTCAAGTTGATTTTAGATTTTTTTTTTAATTTGTTAGAACGAGTTTGAAATATTTGATATTTAATACCTTGTTTAATACTTTTTTTTAAATTTTTTTTATATAAGTAAAGGAGGAATTGTCGTATAGCTGGTTGCACAGGCTAATGAGTCATACACGCTATATTCAAAAAGAATGACAAGTCAACATGTATATACATATATTAAGGTTTTTATTTCATAATGTGCACTATGGAACATGACTTTGATTTATGAATATTATAGTGCAGGATACATGCGGACTGATCTTATGTCAAAATGATTAATATATGTAACTCTAAAACGTGTGTATTTATATACATTATAAAATGTCCTTAGGACAGGTTGATATTATATATAATATTCTCAAATGTCAGAAAAAGGAGTTCGGCTTTGGCATTCCACTCGTTCACTTGTGTGTTTGTATTTGTATATTAAAAGTATGTAACATCCGTGAGTTCTTCCTCCGTTATGCGACATCATACAGAGTGCAATATCATAAAGTAGATTATTGTCTATCCTTTTAACATGTTGTATGCTTTCAACTCGACAATACATAATCTTTCTCTAATATTTATAGCATAGTAAATATTAAATTTTGTATTTATATTGCTGTAATGTCATTTACTAAAGTATGTTTTTGTATAAGTGGTTTTTATAACCAAATGATTTCACGATAATGCAACTGAGTATATTGATCGACGCTTCAATTCTAACTTTAAAGTGATGTTCCTAAACATATAGATTCGAAGTGTCATAAAAGAGCACAAGTTAAAATGACATTTTAAACAAGCAATTTTTTATCCATTTCTCAATCGTGTTCAATTCCGACAAACAACATGTGCAAATTCAAAATGTTCTAAATTTTGCAATATGTTTTCATATTTTTGTCAAAAAGAATTGAATTACGCATTTTACATGTCACAATTTTGTTCAATACACGTCGAAATTTCAAAATAAATGTACGTGTTTAATTTATGACTTTTGTTATTAATTATATATGACCTAACATTGGCATATGATTAAAATTTAAGTTAAAGTAAAACCAAATATCACTACAAAAAGCGTTTTATACTGCTTGCCCAAATGCAATCAATTTTTCTATTACACTGGCCTACAAACATGTTGTACATTGGTGAGTTCTGGTTTTTCATAATTTTTTAACCAGAATTTAAGAGTTCTTTCTTTAAAAATAACAGAAAGAGGAAATCTTCCTCACTCACCAAACACAGCAACATTCGGTGTTTGCTGACGTTCACCAAGTATAAACTTGCAAAATTTAACATGAATTTTGTCTATTTCTTTGCAATCGTAAATACCCCAAACCTCTGCATTATATAACAAAATTGGTAGCACCATTTAATCAAAAAGTGACATTTTAGTTTTTATATCTAAATGTACTCTACTGAATTACCCTAACACACAATTGTATGCTTTCAAAGCTTGTTCAGACAGCGTAATAGCAGCAGTTTTCATATTTCCAGTGTATGTAAAATTTACACCTAAATAGCAAAAATGGTCAACAACTTCAAGCAGTTCACCATTTATAAACCATTGAAAATGATGTCTTTGTTTACGTTTTTCAAATATACATACTTTTTGATTTATTGACATTTATTTTCAAACCCCATTTTATGGAATTACTATAGACTGCTATATCATCAGCAAATAGCAACATATACATAGAACAGAACAGAACATATACGTTATTTAGAAAGACACAGATTACAATATACAAGTATAATGTAATAACATGTGAACAAAGTCAGTAGACAAAATCAAATCAAATGGGTATGAAGAAATGACAGTAATATTATGTAATGCAAATAATCTTTGAAGGTATTTTTGTTATATGGGTATTGCAGTAAATAGTTTTATCAAACTGTAAAAGCATAAGAAAACAAGTATAGAGATTTGCACGAAAATTTCATTTTCTTGATGAATGTGTAATACAGCCGCGTGGTTTTATTGGATAACGAAAATCATGATTTGCGTCGCATTGCTATTTCATTCATGATAAAAACACAAACAAAACTATAGAGCCATGGCTGTCTGTACGTCATTCAGGAAAAAAAAGAACAAAAAAAAACACTTTTTCCTCTTATCTTTTGAAATGTTCAATCAAGTTCAATCAAGTGTTTGACGAAATATGCTAAATTTTTTTAAGTAGTTCCGAACGTACATGAAAGAGCTTTACATTTGACAATATTAGGCCTTTGATAGAATCTTTTTGGGATAAACTTTGACCTTTTTTCACTGAAGAAAGGACACTCTAGTAAATAATGCATCTCGTAACCAAGACTATTAGTATGGCATAACCGGCACTTGCGCTGTTCATGCGGAATAAATGACTGAGTCCAGCGGCCTATTTCAACGGGAAACCTTTGGTTACCGGTGCGAAATGGAATAGGGACAATCTTACTAAACTTGGTAGGGAAAGAAGATATTTCTCAAGGTTAATAGAATCTTTATAACAGCTGTACATTCTGCCTTTATTAGAAGTTCCTAATTTTGAGGACCATTCCTGTTTAAACTGATCTATTAGCGTTGACTTGATCAGTTTGTGGACGTTATAGCTACGTATATTATGTTGGGTTTGCCAGAAATACGAATTACCTATATTATCTAAGATATTTTTAACAAAATGTATCCACTTATAATTATGATCAAACTGTATCATGTAACTATAGCACATATGTGATATTTCCGATTCATTTGACAGGATTAACTTATTCCAGAATTTAACAATTCGAGATTTTATAGTAATATCTATAGGGTAACGTCCAAGCTCTGCGTACAACATGTATCGGGGAGTACTCTTTCTAGTCTTAGTTATTTTGTGTAGGAAATTAACATGAACTTGTTCAATAAGGTCTAAATTTTGATAACCCCAAAACTTTCACTTCCGTAAGAAAGGATAGGTAGAATAGTTTGGTCAAAAAGCTTAATCTGGAGATCAATAGGAAGGTCAAGGTTATTTATCCTCATATATAATTGGTGCATGGCTTTATTTGCCTGAATGACAATATTTTTCCTGCAAGACAAAAAACTACCTGAAGAAGAAAATATAACACCTAAATATTTATATTCTTTCACTACCTCTACAACACGGTTATTTATGAAAAAGGAATATCTACTTTGTTTATTGG